CCCCTTTCCTCCCGCTTAGGACTCAGAGAAAGAAGCTCATGGTGGTTCTGACCCCGGTTTGCTTTCTGTGACCGTCTCCCCTAAAGATGGAGACACTCTGGCTCCTCTGGCAGCTCTCTGGTTTTCCAGACCCTGAATCGTCATAAACATCTTTTTCCAGCACGCAGACGGACGCTGCTGTCAGCTGCTGGAATCATCTGACGGCTCAAACCATTCAGGGTCCGGCGGGGGGCCAGCCGGTGCTAAAGTTTGGATTCTGGGGCAGAACTCGACCACAAAGTCAGAGAGGTGGAGAAAACGTTCCGTCTGAAGACCGATCACATGTTTTCCGTCTGTTTTCCGGCGGGAGAACGACCGGTCCGCTCCCCCGGAGAGGTGGTCCGGTCCGAGTCTCCAGCATGCGGGTTTTCACTCAGAGCAGCGAAGTCAAGCTAGCGGGTGGAAAGACGATACCGGAAATGAACCATGCACGCTTTCAGAATAAAACCGTTTTATAAGTTGGTGTGTTTTGTTTCAGAGTTTAAACTAACAAAGGCATCAGGTCAAACTTTGTGTTCGTGTTTAAAGTTTCATGCTGCTATGAAAGATAATAAAAGTCTCTCTAGCTTGCCAGCTGTTTTACTTTTTATGTTGTTAGGACTGAACAAATAACCAACATAATTTATGTGAAATTATCGTGAATCTGTAATTCTGATAGCTGGAACTAAAAGTAAATTAATCTTATAATTCAGTCTGATATGTGATACTTTTGTGTGACATGCAAAATAATAATCCATAATGCTGACTAAACCTTTGCAAACAGTTTAATAAAGTTTATTAAATATCGTGAATCTTTGAAAAACACTTTCGGGTGATGAAAGCATTCATTATATTTCAGGCTATTATAAAGCCAATTGTTGGCCATTTTCACGGAAAATACAGAAATGTTAAAATGGAGGAACACAATCAGATTCTGATGTTCTGAACATGAGAATCTGACTCTGATATTTAGAGACATGCTGGCTGTCATTATCTTTAAATGTTTGCAAAGCTCAGAGTCAGTTTCCTTCAACCTCCCACAACCTGATGTGTCACATTTCAGGATGGTTGGATCTTAAACTCAACTCAGCTGCACACAAATGGAGGCATGAGAGTGTTGGATCCTCTTTGGGCGTCTGTCCAGCAGTTTCAGACATTTCCTGCTTCTCCTGATCCAGACGCGTCTTTAAAGAGATCCATTCATCCTGACTCTGGTGTGTAGGCACAGAAAAACGTTTACAACCTGCAGCATCATTTCTAAATGGAACCTTAAAAACTTTGTGGCTTCCACTTGCTGCCTGTTGATGACCTCTGAAACACTTTCTGTAGCTTTACTGTGAAGGCCGCGGCCGGAAGTGCGTCACAACTCCGGGTGACTTCACGCCCTCATCTGGAGCTTTTTATTCTCGCCGTGGCCCCTCCAGCGGACACCTCCACACCCGCTGGACCGAACCGAGCCGCTGGCGGTGAAAACATCGACGTGACATCTCATCAGATCGGAATTTTAGCACATTTTCGGACGTTTGCGCGCAGTTTCCGGCCGGAGCCTGATTTTATTTCTGCCCCAGACCGTTTTTTCGGACACGTCTCGGCTCGGATTGCGGCTGGGTTTCCTCAGGGCGTGTTTGGACGGTCTGTGCCGGAGCTCATCTCCTGTTCGGGGGCGACTCTGAGGAATGAGCCCGACTGTGAGCCGCCTGAACGGAGACGATGGATTTTAAGGAGCTGGGACGTCATTTGGAGGAGAAGCTGACTCTAACGGACAAGAGTGAGTATCTGCAGCTGCATGTGGGCGGATTGAAGCTCCATTCTGTGTTTAGACATGCGGCAGGTTTCCCGGACGGATCAATAAATCAGACCGATCACCTGCAGGGACCAGCCAATCAGAGGCCGCCTGTTAGCCAGGTGGACACCTCTGTCCCAGCTGGCGTTTGGGGGTCAGGTCGGCCTGCGGGGGGCTGAAATACTGGAGGGCAGGTGACTGGTTTGGTGCTGGTTTTGTCTAAAAAGACACAGTTTCAGAGTGATTGAGAACCATCTTATAGTGGCTCACAGCTTAAAACCTCCTCATTCTGGAGTTAAACCTCCTCATTCTGGTTTTAAACCTTCTCATTCTGGAGGAGTTAAACCTCCAGTCTGGGCCTATAGAGGGAGGAGAGGTGCATCATGGGAGCTGCTGGTTTGTTTACGACCCACAACCGTCCGGATTGTTCTGGCCCGGCTGGAGAACAAAGGTTCTGGTTCTGCTGTGGCCCAGGAATGCCGGCGCCAGCCGGGCTGCTGGATGAACTGGGCTTTCTTTCTGCCTGAGTCTGGGAGCCGGGACGAGCAAACAGAACCAGGAGGAAGCGGTTCTGTTTGGGCCCGGGTCTCTGAACGGGTCTGAGCTCAGACAGGGCTGCTTTTCTTCCCCTGATGCATCAGCAGCTTCTGCGAGCGTTTTCCCAGAAACTGGAGCAGCTGACGTTTCTGAAGAGGCTCCGAAGGAGGAGGAGCCCAGTGGCTCCTCACAGGAAGCACGTTTACGGCCCACGGAGGAGAACCAGAGGAGAACCAGAGGAGGCCCTGAGTAGAACCAGCGGAGGCCCCCAGAGTAGAACCAGAGGAGGCCCATGGATGAGAACCAGAGAGCCCCAGAGGAGAACCCGAGGAGCCCCCCCAGAGTAGAACCAGAGGAACCTGAGGAGGCCCAGAGGTGAACCTGAGGAGGACCTAAGGAGAACCTCAGGAGGCCCACAAAGGAGCCCCCCAGAGGAGGAGCTGAGGAGAACCTGAGGTGGCCAATAGGTTAACCTGAGGAACCCACAGGAGGCCCTGCTGGGCCCCTGCATACAGCTGCAATCAGTGAGGGATGGACCTCCTCTTCCTCCTATTAGGAGCTGAAGTTGAGCTCCCCCAGATTTTCAGGGTCCTGAAATAAAAAATGTGATTAAACTGAACACGGAAAAATTAAGCCAGACTTTAAAGACAACAGCCTCCCTACAGGGTTCCTGAAGGGGCCACGGCCTCCCTAAAGGGTCCCTGAAGGGGCCACGGCCTCCCTAAAGGGTTCCTGAAGGGGCCACGGCCTCCCTGAAGGGGCCATGGTCTCCCTACAGGGTTCCTGAAGGGGCCACGGCCTCCCTACAGGAGCTGCGGTGTCCTGTGTTGACCCGGCTGGGACTCGGGGGCGTTAAACTTAGTCTGTCCTCACTCCTGTCTGTGCTGCCAGGTCGGAGGCAGCCGGCCAGGAGGAAGCATGACCCACTTCAGGAGTCCAGAGCAAGTGTTTGAGGGGTCAGCTGTGGTCTAAATCTGCCGCTGTGGCTCCGATGTTTCAGCTCACAGGCGTTTAAAGTGGCCGGCTCTCATTTACAGAGTCCGGGAGTCCTGGTCCCACAGGCTCTTCCCTTCTGGGTGCTAACAGATAGCTTAGCCTGTGATAAGGCCAGAAACGATGAGACGTGCAGTCTGAGAGGCTTTTCCATCCTTTGTTGTTTTGAAGGACGATTTATCACTGCTGCTGTTGTTGGTGCCCGTTATCTGGAGCATTGTGTGTGTGTGTGTGTGGGGGGGGGTTGTTTTTGTTTTTGTTTGTTCTGTCATTCCAGTTCTCAGCTTGTTTTTGCCCTAACACTCGACATAGTACAGATATTCACAGATTTCATGCTGCAGAACGTGAAAATAACTTCATTTTATTATTTGTTTTATTTGCTTTGCACCTCAAAGCTACTTGCTGATAAACTGAATCCAGATTTATTTATTTTTTTTGTGCTTCAACCGAGTTAAAATCCAAAATTTACTGGATTGAGTCGTAGTCTGGGCCGCTGCCCTGCTGGTTTGAGATGTTTCCCAGCTGCTCTAAAGGTAGTCATGCTCCAGATGAGCTTGAACTGCTCTGATGTGATGCTTTCATCCCACTCTGTGCCTCCTCATGATGTGGAATTGGTTC